TCCACATTGTGAATGGTCCTGGTCAGGGTCCACATTGTGAATGGTTCAGGTCAGGGTCCACATTGTGAATGGTCCAGGTCAGGGTCCACATTGTGAATGGTCCAGGTCAGGGTCCACATTGTGAATGGTCCTGGTCTTGGTCCACACTGCGAGAGCTGAGAAGCTTTGCTAACAGCTCCAGCTCCTTGCCAGCAAAAGGTGACAGCAAAGGGACTTCAAGCTTCTCTATATAGAATTGAACTCAGTACCATACAGATGAAGGGCTGGCTTGTGAATGTCACTGCTGGAAACTCTACATGCAGCAGACTGACTGGAGTCCCCTGGAAAGGTGACGCATGGCTGAGAGCACCTTGCCTCTCCTTATGGGCTCGTCCTTTAATGATACCAGCATTCCGAGAGATCCCGGCTGGCTTTTCAGTAATGTTCAGAAATGCCTCAATGATCACATAATTTGGCTTTCAGGTGTACTTAAGCTTATGCAAGGGAACAGAGAGGGAGGGGTGCAGGGATGTAAGGGTAAGACCCACACCCCTGGACTGTTCTTGAGTGAGGCTTTTGAGAATACAGAATACTTTAGTAACTTTTCACAGCTATGAACTAGGACACTGGTGCAAGGGCACTGGGAAGGGGACGTCACCTTATCACATGCTGAACCTGGTAAAGCAGTGTGGGCAGGTTTGGACCAACAATGTGTAAAGGATTGATGCTTTGTAATGGGCTCCACCTGGGAAAACCTGGCCTACACATATCCTGTGTAACATGGCAACGGACAAATACATACACGAGCACCCATTGTATGAAAAATAAGCGTAGTGTGAAGAAAGTAGGACGACACCATCCCAAAGTGCATGTGCATAGCACATCACCACCTGCCCTCCCTGGACCAGGGAAAGCAGCACCCAAAGGCAGTGGACCACGTCAGCAGCTTGGTACATTCAGAAGGATGGAGCCCACAACACATAAGGCACATCCATGTCCGGGCTGAAATGTGTTGGTGACTCCTTGGGTCTCCTCCTCAGGAGATGCCACACAGTCTCGCCACACCAAGCAGACCTCCAGAGTCAAGATCTCTTAAGGCCCCGTGTGGAAGTAATGCGTGCAATAAATAGTTGTGGCTGCAGAGCTTGCCCTGTGGAGATGTCACTTGCAGAGGACCCCATTCTGAAGCGACCTGGTTTTGTCAGTGATGCAGGAAGAGGTAGCCACGTGGGGCAGGTCTTCCTTGATCTTTGGAGAGTGGCTGCTGTTGTTACTGGAGCTTGATTTACTTCTGCTTGGGTCGAGGGCAGGCTGCATGGGTGAGGCCTGGGTCCCCTTGCCCTTGACCAGACAGCCACAAACCAACCGGAAGAAGGCACGACGCATCTCTTTGCTGGCCAGAGTGTAGATGACAGGGTTCATGGCCGAGTTGAGGACAGCCAGCATGATGAACCACTGACTCTTGAAGAGGATAGAGCACTCCTTCACCCTGCAGGCCACGTCGATGAGGAAGAGGATGAAAAGGGGGGACCAACAGGCAATAAACACGCTCACCACTATTACTACAGTCCGCAGAAGAGCCATGGATCTCTCCGAGTTGTGGCTGGCCACCCTGCGGCTGCTGGACTTGACCAGGAAGTAGATGCGCGCATACAAGATGACGATGGTCACCAGAATGGCGGTGAAGATGCTGATGAGGAAGGCAATGTATTTCTTGGAGTAGAGGGGTAAGATGGTAGAGCAGTCAGGAAAGTTCTCCAGGCAGTTCCAGCCCAGGATGGGCAGGGCACCCAGCGAGAAGGCAATTAGCCAGCACATGCCAATCAGAAGGAACACGCGGTGCTTCTTGTTGGCATCATACGGCCTCATCTTGATCATGGTCAGGTGCCGCTCAATGGCGATGGCCAATAAGCTGCAGGTGGATGCCCCCAGGGCTACGAACATACTGCCCTCCCTGAGGAACCACACTGTTGGAGACAGGCTGAACGTCTTCGTGCCGGACATCAGAATGTTGACCTTATAGGCTATGCCGGCCAGCAGGTCGCAGAGAGCCAAGTTGCCGATGAAAAAGTACATGCGGTTGTGAAATTTATTGTTTTTCCAGATGGCAATCAAAACCATCAGGTTCTCCAAGACGATGAAGCTACAGGTGACCAAGAAGAGGATGGTGGTGATGAGGGTGCCACCCTCAGGGGGGTCCCGCAGTCTGCCTGCCAGCTTCCCCACGTAATCATAATGTTCCCGGAGAGTATCATTCCCAAAGACTGGCTGGTGGCCCTGCGCATGCGTGGTTGCCATGACTTCCTATAGACAGATGGTTACCTCAATAGTCCACCAGAGGGCGCGCCAGGAACGTTCATTTCAGGGAACAATTGGGACAGTGGTGATGAGTTCCCGAAGGCGTGCCGGCCTGACTGCAGGAAGAGTGTTGAAAACAGGCTCTGTAAGGAGAGTAAAGTAGAAGCTTTGCATCACGTGATCACCATTCAGCAACCCTAAGTGTGGAAAATGCTAACACATACGGAGGGCTGCTGTGCAGGAAGTGCTTGGAACATAGGCCAAGTCTCCAAGATTGAAACCAGGGAAAGCTGTTAGGGGTCTAGAGCTGGCAGAGAAGAAGCCTCAGAGTAAGAATCCGTGAATCGTGTAACCGCGGCAGGAACGAAAAAGAGCAAGCTTCTACTTGGAAATCTCCAGGCACCAGGAAACACTGCGTTACTTCTCACCCACCACATGGGAGCTGGTAAACCACTATTCCCAGCTGTGGAGGGAATTAGATTTTTCTCAGGATGAGGAAAAGGGAGGGAGAAAGGGAGAGTAAGAAGGAAGGAGGGAGAAGAGGATGAAAGGGAGGGAAGGGGGGGGGGGAAAAACCAGACCACAGTAGGAAAAATGGTGTCTGAAGGATTTCTGGGTCCTCCTTGCTGAGGCTTGAAGCGGCACCGTGAGAAGCACCTCATACTTCCTTGGGCTGATTCCCTTGGGGTCTGGATGGGCCTTTGGCCCACCTGGCAGAGAGCCCCACAGCCTGACCACAGAGGGAGGGCAGGAAGAGCAGCTGGAGCCTGAACCAGAACCCTGCGGCCACTGCACTGAGCAGAGCCCAGGGAGGAAGGAATGTGAACTGTCCTGGAAGCGGCGGCCACTGAGGTTAAAGGAAGAGAGGAAAGGGAAGGGGTAATGACAGGAACTCTGAGTGTGGCTTGAAAGGCAGAAGTCTGGGCCCGGAGTATGAATTAGCATATTTACAATGCCCAGGAATAGAAAAAAAGCGATATTTGTGATTGCTGTGAAGGCCTTGAATGCAAACACCAGACCCTGAAAAAATAAGTATGTGTGTGTGCATGTGTCTGTGTTTATGTGTAAACGCATGTGTCTGCTGTGTATGTGTGCATGCATGTGTATGTGCATGCATGTGTCTGTGTGTATGTGTGCATGTATTGTATATGTGCATGCATGTGTCTGTGTGTATGTGTGCATGCATGTGTATGTGCATCCATGTGTATGTGTGCATGTATGTATGTGTGCATGCTTGTGTCTGTGTGTATGTGTGCATGCATGTGTCTGTGTGTATGTGTTGCATGCATGTATCTGTGTGTATGCATGTGTCTGTGTATGTGTGCATGCATGTCTCTGTGTGTATGTGTGCACACACACGTGTGTGTGTATGTGTGTAAGAGAGAGAATAAGCATGTGTGTGTGGCGCAAATGCATGCACATGCATTCCCACGTGTGTGACTGAACCTGAAGCCCACCCATACAGTCACACTGGCTGGCCACTGAGCCCCAGGAAATCCTCCAGTCTCCCTGCCCACAACACTAGGATTACAGATGCATACCACCAAACAAGCCTAGCTTTCTACCTGGGTGCTGGGGGTCCTGAACTCACGTTTTCACTCATGCTTGCATGAACTAAGCCGTCTCCCCAGGGCTGCCCACTGACCCGTGGATGTGTTAACCTGTCTTACGTCTCATCTCCATCCACCTCTGTGACTCTGAGGCTCTGCCGGACAGCTGTGAAGGCAGTGCTTCATGTGCATGGCTTACCATGTATTTTTAATTGTAGTTGACACACCTAGTTGTACATCTTTGTGGGTGTGGCGTGGTGACAGGTGCATGATCACAGGTGATGATCACAGCATAGCCGTTAGAATCCTCCTTAAACATTTGCAAGTTTGAACCCCCTGCCTTTGTGTTCTTCATTGGGGTGAACCCAAGCCAACTGCCCACGCTGCAGAACTTGAGAATTGAGTTCTCTGTCCAACTGGGTCTCACTTCCTTCTGTTACTTCCAACCCCCTGTCTATGCTCACTTATTTTAAATTAAAGTTACTGGATTCTTAAATATCTAATGAGGTTCAAGTGAGGTGAGTTGAAAATAGCCCACTTTGAGTACCCGCTGAGGATTTATTCACAGTGTTTAAGCTCCAGGCCTAAATTTGGTTCATAGACACATAGATCAACACAATGGGGCCTCACCCACATCGGGAGTTTCTTCTAAGAGGGACTTAAATCCCTCAAGGATACCAGAAGTTCCTCTATTGATGGTACACTATAGGGCTGAGAAGATAAAGTGACTTTGGGGGGACTTTGCACTCCTGAGATCCCCTGGGAGCAGTGAGTTTTATGTAAGCCTCTTCTTTCTCCATCACTGGGGAGACCTTAGCATTGGTGACATTGGAAAGAGGAGGCCTGTGGCTTCTCAACAGAGAAATCTCCTAGTTTCCTGGTCCTTGGAGGGATCTGTTATTCTAGAATTCATGGGAACTGTCTGAGTTGATAGCTATGTTCTACCTGGAACAGCCCTTGGCCTAGTCCAGCTATTTGAATTGCCTGGGATGATGGAGGGGCTTGAGTCAAGGTCAGCCTGAGTGCTGCTGGCTGGTGGAACCTTTACTCTGCCTTCTTTTAACTTCAGAGAGTGGCTCTGAGGACGAGACACCGGTGGTACAGAGAGGGCTCACATGCTCAGGGCCCCTGGCATCCATTGAGGCCCCTGTCACACCCAACCAAGCTCCCCTCTGGGCTCCTATAAGTTCACCCTGAGGCAGGCAGGACAATTCTACAAGCCTCTTTCTACTCTCCTCCTCCTCTTTTTCTTTCTTTCTTTCTTCTTCTTCTTCTTCTTCTTCTTCTTCTTCTTCTTCTTCTTCTT